ACCAGAGTGCCACAGATAAGCACTTGCGCTAAAAGTGATTGTCGCTATAGGTCTTACAAGCATGCATACTGGGATCAGAAATAATTATGCACGTTCATCTAAATTCTTGTGAAAAGCAGTGGCAGCGCCAAATTGGCGTGAAATGGTAGGCAAAATTCCAGCAAAAAAAACAGTGTTTCTGAGCCAGTGGTGGTGCCATTGAGGTAACCGCAGGTTATTTGCTTAATTTCGGTTGCTTTTCCTATTGTCATCTTTGCTGATTGCCGAAACTATTATAATGGGCATCTCTTCACTCACGCTTATTTAATAAAAAAGATAGGTACTAAAACAGAAATTTCAGCTGAAGCTCCTAAACCTGCAACGTTATTCAACTGGCTTCAAGCAGTTGACCTTTCATTAAAGGAGGTGGCAATATCGCGGAAGATGATTCGAACGCAAACTCCCAAAAGGTCTATTTGTACTGTAGGTTCTGAAGTCAACTAAATGAAAAATTTTCTATATTTACAGATGAATTATGTAGTGCATTCAAGTTTCTGATCATAACACTTCCTGCATTTATTTGCGTTTCTTACATTTTCGTACAAACTATATGTATAGTAATTATCCGTGCAAAGGATAGGGCGTGTGAAGGGGCGTGAACTGGAACGCAGGCAGATATTCCAGTAGTTGCGGATTCATATTGTCATCGTTGGTGGACAAAGCCGCTTGTCAGCGCTCCAATTCACGCCTTGTCGTTTGCAGATCGCTGTAAATCGGCGGATGTTCTCTTTGATGGGGAGTATCCATGATGGAATATTTTGGCGAATTTGGCCCCAATAGATGATAGTTTTCATTCACCCTTAATATAATGTACCCTGCACCCACAACCGAAAGGACCATTATTCTCTAAACAGATTAATCGCTGTATTTGCTGGCTGTTGGGAGGGAGGGGTCGTATCAAGCCATCTCTTAGGGGGAGAGGGGTCGTACGGATTCGACCAAAATTCCCAACTAATGATCTGCCCTGATACGAAAGGTGCTGTGACCGCGCCAAAACCCACTCGCCAC